ATTTCGCCAGGCCCTCCACAAGAGACGATTTTTGTCGATATGCCCCAGAAGATCCTTGGGCCAGGAGATGCTGTGTCCTCAGCGGAGACGTCGCTCTGAAAAGATGTTTCCTTTTTCAGAAAAAACGCTACACATTATACATATATAACATTGTACAACACTTTCCCCGGACACCTACTTAGGTTTCACTGGTACGCCTTTACAATGGTATTGTAGTGCAGTTCCAACAAAATTAACTTAAGCTGTCTGTGCCCTTGGCCTGTCTAGCTAGTTCCCAGTGCTAAGATGGTGAAAGCATCTAAAAACCAAGGAATTTGCAGAAAAAATTCACAGCTGCCTTATACAAATCAAGTGGAACCTTTTAAACTACATAAATAATAGACAATGACAACAAATGTCTTTTGATTTGTTTGCACAAATATCTCGCTCACCAACCAGCTTACCAATGTTCCAATTGCTATCCCTAGCAGTGTTAATCATTTTTTATGCTTAACTAATGTGTGCACTGTGCCAATGCTGTTTATGAATTTATGTACATACATGATTTCGTTGTTCAACAACGGAAGTTAACAGTACAATCCAGGGAATCCTGCCCGTGTCATCAAGGCGACAGTTGTTGCCTTAATGACTTTTTAACCACGTGAACAGGAAGTTGATTCAATTATTGCAAAACAACCGTGTTACCCACAACATATGCATGTTGGTACTCACCAAGCAGAATTTCAGCAGCAGTGCAGGTGCTGTTGTTCATGACCTCAGAGGTACTGATGCTGGCACCTTGCGAAGTAGATTCTTTCATGTTGTCAGACAAATCGCATGGCTCGCCTTCAAATATACCTGCAAACAGAGCAAATAATCAAGCTGCATGAAGTCAGAAATGTCATTTGTCGTATAGTCATAAATACTGTCAATGTCTACAATTATGCTGTCATCACGTGGTCTTTTTATCTATATGGCAGCAAAAATGACACTTTCATTACTTCAATATATGGGACTGGTATGAATCTGGCATCACACGAGAACATCAAATGTTTTTACTGGCAGTATTAGCTTCCTGGTCAGCAGCTGGCATTAAACAGTTGTTTAAATTTCCAAGCCCACAGTATTATCTAAAAGGCACAAATGAATCGGTGCTCTAGCACCATCTTTGTTTCCCTTAAGCACAAAGAGCTGTAGAAATAAACATGGCTGTAAATTGTCTGGGGTTATACAAAGTCACTTGTGGAATGTTTTCTCCACTTTTAGTTTATAAAGCTGTGAAACAAGCTTGACATTGACGGCCGAGTGTAAAATCATCACAATACCGCCCCCTCAGAAAAAAACAATTATGCAACCCAGAAAGACAAAAACAAGACGTGAGGACTTCTAAATAACTTTTTTTTTTTTTTTTGGGGGGGGGGGGGGGGGGGGGGGGGGAGTGCAACAAGCACATAGTACCTGTATGTGCTGGGTGGCTATGTTTTTTTGTTGTAATGTCATTTTATGCAGTACTCGATGCCGACAGCACGAACTCACAAATGATATAATATTAATAATAATTTTTATTTGCACAGTTGGGTTACTCACTCGGCAGCGTGCAAGGCTAGACAGAAAGGTTGAGACCCGTACGCAGGTGCGCCTGTTAGCCCGCCGCCAAATGGGGGAAAAAACCGAAGAAAAAAAAAAGACGATAACAGGCAATGGTGGGTGAACAAGACAGTCAAACATAAAAATACGCGTAAAAAACGGGTAGCAATTCTTTGGGCCGCCGCCGCCGCCGCCGCCACCGCCATCACCATCCTCAACCCCCCCCCCCCCTCACCTCTCCCCCCCCCCCCCCCCCCCCCCTATGTTGCCCTACCAGGCACCAGGCGCGGGGGGTCCATATCACATGAACGAATGACATTTTAGCGAACAGCGACATTTGAGCGAATCGACGTTTTAGCGAATAACGGGGGCGCGCGTTAACCCATCCGCCGCGCTGCGCTTTACGCCGCTTCGCGGCGACAGTCTGCGGCGGCTCATTACAAAAATGTGAACCCATTCGGCTCACCCGAAAACGCCGCTTTATGGCGTCCGACTGTTCGCTAAAGTGTCATTCGGTGAAACGTAGGCGTTCGCTAAAACGTCATTCGATCAACATTCTATCAAGTGAGTGCCTCCCCATACGTGAAACTAAAACTAAAGTGCAATAACGGCATACGTTTCGGTAACGTCACACGGAACAACGCAACGTTATTACCACGGACAAGTGCATACCGAAGCGGTCGGGTACTCAACGGTGTTCCGAACACGCGTGCCCCTCGACTGACACACACAGACACACACACACACACACACACGCACAAAAACATGAAATAAAAGCGGCACTTACTAATCCGTGCGTGCTGTACAGGGCTGTGGCCGCAGTAAACGCACCACGTCGCTTGGTGAGGAGCCGCAGGTTGGCTGCAGTTGTCGAGGGCCCTGCTGTCGCCATCGCACTCGCAGTTGCTTGCGTAACATTGACCTCGCAACACACCTTTGATGTCTTGCGATGAATACATCACCGCCGTAGATTTCAAACCAACTTTCCTTTTTGAACGGTGCGGCTTGCGCGAGAAAGAGAACGCGACGACGACAATGCAATTTCGCGCGACCACCGGCCAAGCTACGCCTTTTGCGCGGGCTGAGCATGCGCGGTAGGACTCGCAAAAAATTTCTTGTTTTTGTTCTCAACTTTTCAGAGAGAGAGAGAAAGGGACTTGAGAGAGGGAATGGGGTTCGAACCCTTTCTCTTTCTCAAGTGTGCGCCGTGCGCCCCGCCGCCGACAGCGGTGAGGGGGAGACGCGGAGACACGCGGCTTTTATGGGCTTTTGTGCTTCATTCGCGCTTTCTTTTCTTTAAGCGCGCTGAAAGTGTAAATAAACAAGGTGGTAAATAACAATACGTTACAGCTATGCGAAAATTAGTAAGTACATACGAATAAGCTCGTTGACAGAAGAACCAACGGGAATACAGACGTGAGCCCCACAGCTCCGTACGTTTCTCGGTTAGGGCTAACACGCCCTGAAAGTGGAGAGCCAACTTGAAAACGGGGGTCGATAAACACTTCACGCGACAATATTTTGCATCCTTGTCACAATCGAAAGTCATTTTGTCGAGACTTTCACGCTGATGTAGCCTAAAACACTTTGCACAACCAATTTCGTCCACCGCGTCGACCGCGACAAACAAGCCGCCATGTTTTTAATCCAGGATTAAGAAACAACCAGAAGCAAAGCGCCCAATGTTGGGCGCTTAAGTTAAGCGTAGTTTAGTGCTAGGTTTAGCGATAAGCGAGTTTGGTGCAACCGAACGAAACCGAAACTAAGCTTAAGTTCCCGGCTAAGCTCCGCTTTGCGCTAAGCGACGTTGGTGCAACCGGCCCTAAATAAGAGAGCCAACTCTAAGGGGGGTGGGTCTTCTTTAGTCGCAATTTACCTTGTCTTACTAGACTTCTTTTTTCGAAATGAACGTGTTTGATTTTAAACTTTTTTTTTTTTTATTTGAGAGACCACAAAAGAAAACCCTTAAAAAAATGAATACTGAGTGGTGTTTTAGAGTGTTTTTACGAAACACATTTTTTTGTGACGAATGACCATCGCGACTAACATAACCTAATCTAACCTCACCCAACGAGAAACCTTGAGCGCCATAAAGTTGCCGAGGGCTAATCATACAAAAAAAAATTTCCTCGCTTCAAAAAAATAAAGCTTCCTTCAAACTTCTGTCACTTATCGCCTTAGTTACGAGCTGCATATAGGGGTAAAGATGTAGTTTTAGACAGAACAACCTTTGGTTTTAACTTTAAGAACTGGTTTGCAACATGTTCAATACTGGAAATAAACCAAATTCAAAATTAGTTTTCCAGTTTAATAAATAACAACTTTTGCCTAACTTTTTCTTTGTTATTTTTGTATTTTCTATAACCTGTGAGCATGAATTTTTAGACCGATCACATTTATACATTTTAATTGTTTTAAATTGGGTATTTTTCTAATATGTTCAATACTGTGCATTAATATTATAAAATACAGAAAAACATTTTTATCATGACACATTTTAAATATCATTTGTGTTCATTAATACTAACACATAACTTTTCAGTCTACATGGGCTGATGTTTTTGAAAATGAAAGGTGAATACCAGCATTTCAAGACTTTTTTTGTCACATCTGAACCATTCAGAACAAAACAAGTGCGTTGATGATATTAAAAGAATATATTGACGTAATAAAAATCGTGTTCATATCGCAGTCCCGTTTCAAACCCTTCCAAAAAAAAAAGAGTTTCATTTTTACCCCTCGGGATCTATTTTCCACAAACTTCAAGGTATCTAAAAAAAGATTGCATAGCAAAATAATCTTGGAAAAGGTACTTATGCCTCATCAATAACATATACATTTGCTTTAAACTCAATCCGTGAAGGTCGAGTTTAGGCCTGGATCGTTTGGCGTAGAATCTCCCGGCCTGTTGCGCAAGTGGTAAATTTAGCGCACCACCTCTCTTCCCACGTGCTTCAAGTTAAAACAAATTACTGATTTAGTTGTTTTCGATTATTTTGTGTGATTTTCTAATTGAAGTCATATATATATCTTTATTGATTAAAATGTTAAATAACAGTTTTATTTAAAAGGAAGACTTATTGACCATTAGCCCCCTTTACTGTGTACCCCTTGCCGAGTAACTCACCCGTACAAATGGGATTATTGTAACTTCCACGGTGCTTTAAAAACAGTCTGTAAGGTATAAAAAAATGATTCGGTTAAGCCTATACAAGTTTAATATTAACTCACATACGGAAGTACGTGAGTTTTTCTCGCAAGGCATTCCGGTTTTATTGCAATTCGCTGTAAGGAACGCCCTTTTTTACCCCACTGATCGCCTGACGAGGTCGTTGAGAGCAGGGCGTTGATGGAATGCACACTGCCGCTATAAAAGGCATCACAGGCAAACGACACAGTACCACTTCTACTTGAAAGCAAGAGTAACCATCACCATGTTTTCTAAGGTATGGAATTTCAAGCACAACACGAAAGAAACGGTAGCTCTTATATCTTACAAATACAAAACAAACATCTTCTAGGAAGTATCCGAATGGCAGTCGACTCTCTAGCATATATTTCAGTTTGCAAAGTTTCGCAACGAGCCGTTTAGTGAAAATATAAATATGTAATGTTTTGGTAAAGCTTTTTCCGGCAATTATTTTCATATTTTCTAATCTAGCGTATATTACACTAAGGTTGAAGATGACAAGTGTTCGTCATTTGTTCTCGTATAAATCATTCGTCTTCGTTCCAGGTCCTTGTGTGCTCCCTTTTCGCCTACGTGGCATGCGGAGTTGTCGTCGAGAACGTAAGTTATGAATCCCGTATCTTTGTACAAACTACTTAGGTAATTGTAACTCCATAATTTCTCAAAGCACAAAACATCCGATAATAAATTCACGGGCCACTTAGCAATAACTGAACCTAAAATAATTAATTCAAACATCAGATACATTTATATCAGAGTACGCCTTTGAAGGTATTGCTGATAACAATCATGCCACTGCTTCGTAAAAAACAAAAAAAAAACATTGAAGACAGTTAACGTAATTTACAGGGTAAAGTCTGCGCACTCGGTGTATAGTCCGAAGAATCCAATTTAGGCCGAAAAAAAGTGTGTTTTTTTTAGATTGTTTGTGCCCGTGGAATTCACCCCTGCATTCTCCGGGCGCAGACAATCACCACCGGGCGCAGATAATCATCACCGGGCGCATACCATCAATTCACCGACCATGCAAGCACCTCGTGCTTTGTCGACACGAAAATCTTCTTATACAAGGCACACCTTGACCAATGTTCGCTTTCTTCCCTAACAAAAAGGTTGTATTATACATAAATAATCGTTAACATACTCTTTCATTCTAAAAATCCATCACGTCTCATCATAATAAACGATCTTAAAAAAATGAATCCCTCTATAGTCCGCTCGTATAGAGAGTCCGCACAGCCTAAACGTTCAACTTCTAAACATTTACAGTACGAGGACTAGAGCCCGGAAAAACGGTACTTCGTAGAAATATTTACAGTACAGAAGGATTTTTTTTTACTCTTTAGGTACGGTGGCGGTTACGGTCAGCAGTTCTTATTGAGATCTGGCAACCTTCTAATGTTGTGAGAAGGAACGCTGATTGTCCTTCCATGAAGCGCGTCGTGAACACTATTTTTTATATCGCTCGGTTGGCAGATTCGTACCTAAATGCGACAGGGCAAGGACCTGCTGGCCCTTATTGTTTTCAGTCATACAGATATGTGTACAATAAGAGCATTACGTATTTTCATAACGCTTTTAGTTGTTATTGCAGATTAACTGATCCACTCCTATAGGTGTATATCAGCGCTGGACGCAGGCAAGACTATTGCCCTGTACACTCCTAAAGGAAATAGTTCAGAAATCATGTCTGTGTGAAAAGAACAATAACTATATAAAAAAAGTTTACCCTAAAAGTTCATTTGAAATATGTGCTCGCAAATTTGCATTCTCGAGATTATCGAAGCTTTTTTTTCGCGAAATGCTCCAGTACCCTTACATAATAACACAATTATTGATTGTTGCTTTCTGAATTAAATCCTTCTAACGCGGAATAAGAATAGATTATTAGCACTCATAAACATTAAGATCCGGAAAATAATTTTCCTATACCAAAGGTAGGAAAACGCTGCTAAGAAACACTGTTTGTATAGATAGCACGTCACAAATAGATAAAGGTGACGGGTACTGTGGATCAATTAATATGGCACTATTAGTACTCCCATAAAGAAAAAGCTACTGCTATATTTGGAAAACTCATGATATAACTATACGAGGACCATTGCAAAAATTAAAATTAATAATTACAACATTCCAAACAATTCTTTAAAATAATATTTCTTCATAATCTAAACCCTGATAGAAAAATAAATAAAGACAAATTTGATCGTGATTTTATTTCTTAGTGTCTGAGTGTTTAGATTATGGTGTTTCCTAACCAGCTCGCCTCGTGGATATTTTCGCTTCTTGCAATGATGTTGCATATTCATATTCTGAATTTTTTTGCTAGCTTCAAGGGCCCTGAAAAGAAAAAAAACTTTGCTTTTAAACCGCCTGGTTAGAACACACGTGCCAAAAAAAAAAAAAAACACTTACGCGAAAAAAAATTGTTTTAGAGCCATATAGACGGCTACAGATTTATTTGAAATTCTTCCCGCCAAGCCCATGACGTCATGGAATGGTCATTCGCTCAACGATGTGGCGATTCGGTTTTTGCACCGCAACGTGAGCGCGAAGTCGATCCGCCTGTCCTCCACGCACCCGAAATGCCGAAAGAGAAAACAAGTAAAAAGGAGGTGACTCCCGACTAAATCGCATCATGCGCCGTCAATATTGCTTTAGAAAATGACATTTTTCGCGTAAGATTAATTTTGTGACACTGATATCCGAACCAGACTGTTAAAAAAAAAATGTTTCTTTTCAGGGGCCTTTTAAAGATTTAATATATAGGTAGCTCAGAGTGACCTAAGAAAAATAACCTTAAATTGAGCGCTGCTGTGTAAGGGGGTACGTATCGGGATTGTAAGTTTTCTTCATTAAGGGTTTATGTGGTTGTGCTTAAGGTTAAGGAATTCATTAGACCTTGTGTAGAATGGGTAATCTAACCACGAATACCTTTGTTTTACTCAAGGTACACGTACCGCAGCCGTACAGCTTTGGTTACGACAACGTCGACGAGTTTGGCACCCGCCTAACACGCCAGGAGACTGGTGATGAGTTCAACAACAAGGTTGGCTCCTACGGATACGTAGACGCTCACGGCGTTGCTCGCACGGTCAACTATGTCGCCGACGCCCTCGGTTTCCGTGCTACCGTTGAAACCAACGAGCCAGGAACCAAGACTTCCGCCCCAGCCGATGCCCCTACTTACTCCTCGTCTGTCGAGGTTGCTGCTCCAGTTGTAGTGAAGGCTGTTCACTCCGCCCCAGTTGTGGTAAAGGCTGTTCACCCAGCCCCAGTTGTCGTCAAGGCTGTTCACCCAGCTTCAGTCGCCTACACCCACAGGGTGGCTCCCCTTGCGTACAGCACTGTTGCTCGTGCTCCCCTCGGCTACACTCTCGGCCACACCACCATCGCTTGAGTACAAACTATTTAAATAAAAAAGTATCGAACAGGATGAAAGAAAATCATCTGCCGAGATGTCCATCTTTTTTGGAGGGTGCTGTTACATTTGTCATCAATCCTTTGCTAAACGCACCATATCCCGGGACCAAAATTTGTGCCGAATATATGAATGCAGAATTACGCACAAATCATAGGTACAGGTGTACGTTTGTGGTTTGTTCTGCAACATTTGGTATGTAAGTGAGTGAGTCCCAAACAATCTGTGTGCCTAACGTTTCGGGGGCACCTTTTGTCATACCTTCACATTTCTAGACAGGAATAATAAAAAAAGGAGGATGGAGTTTTCAACAGACGACCCAATTTTACAGCACTTTCAGTTCTCCGGCGCTTTACCGAGGTGTACTGCGCAGCGCTTTGACTAATATGACTACTCATTCGAGAAACTGTTTGGGAGATTGTTTCTCGAGTCCTCGTAAAACAGCTATTCATAATTAAGTAAGCATAGTGCAAAACGTAAAAAGCTACCCAGGTAGCACGCCAGAGAATCGTCTAACTGGCACAAGGTTTGCAATCTTATGGGACCGAATTCGTACCTCAATGGGTTTCGCTTCAAGGTACGTTTTAATGCCAGAGTACTTTTCTTTTGCGATTTTATTGTTTTTCTCTGGCTCACCATATAGACAGGTAGCACACTTGCTTGGTTTAGCTGGGGCCAGGATTGGGCCTTAGTTGCGATAGCGTTGCAACGACTGGCCAGCCATTTATGTTTGTACGCCAGCCTGGCGTTTCACAGTCTTTCCTTGCTCCAGAAAGCCACGGAACTGCCAGAGAACGCCTTCCCTGGTTGACCAATCAATTTCCTTGGTCATTGATGGCCAGTGTAAACAGGCCGCTGCCAGTATTTGATGTACCCTGGCTGTCTATTGATTTTCCTCGGTCAGAGATGGCCAGGGTAGCAATGACTCTGCCAAGCTTTGAGGTTCCATGGTGGTTCGCAGGAATTCCCTGGTCCGCTCAACACAAGCAACAGCCAATATTCGGGCATGTTCCAGATCGAAGATAGGGTGAGCCAAGGAATGTCAGGGAACTGCCGCTATGCAATGTTCCGTGGCTCAAGCTCGTATTTTATCGGACCCAGAATGCCCGCTGAAAGCCACTGTTACTCTATAGTTCGTTTAACTTTTTCATTTTTTTTTAAAATTCGTATGAGCGTTCTGTTAACATAGTTTTGGGGCTTTGTGGCACGAGCCCTCGCACTAGAAAGCGACATTTGAGTGCAACAAGTCTGTTTTGGCCAGAGACATAAAAAATAACACGCTTTCCCCATTGAAAAAGAAAAAAAAAATACTTGACAACAGTTTGGATATGAACAGGCCAAACCAGAAATGAACTGGGAGTAGTGGAATTGTACCGGACAAACTGGAAATCAAACTGTGGAAATTGGTCGAACTCGAGCGTTATAACTTTCATGCTTTTTACCGCGGCCTTTATCTACCTGGCTTGCACGGAGAAGCCGCTTCCAGCGCAAGTCTCCGAGGCGGTGAGCCTCCCACGTGATGTTGGAAAAGAGCGGGAAATATTCCGCACCCCAGATGAATCGCGCGCCTGGAATGTGGGAGTGCCCAGCGACCGGAGATGATGCAGTGCCCCCGCGCGCAGCGCGGATGCCTTGAAAGAGGAGAGCTGCTCACGTGCAAGGACAGGGAGCGCGCGGGCCAATCAGCGCGGCCCTCGCGTCCGCTCGAAGCGCCGGTTTTGAGACGGCGGCGGTCCAGTTCTGAAAAAAAGAAAAAAAAAAAACAAAAAAAAACGGATCTGGCGTTAGTGGTGCGAACTTAGTTGGGTCTTTGTTCGGCGCTGATGTTCTGCTTGGGGAGGCTACAAGTTGCTGTGTTTGAATAAGATAGTTTGCCGGTGCCTTGAGTGCTGCCTCTGCCGATGGTTCCTAAGGCTGATGACGTCCTCCACCCGAGTTCCACTCGCTCGTGGGCGAAATGGCTGTATCCCAGAACGGCGTGTTCGGAATTCGCTCCGTCCTCATTGCAGCGCGGGCAATGGCTGTCTCTGTCTCGGCGCCAGCGAGCCAGGTAAGCAGGCTCGACCATTTAAATTCATTTTCATAATCAGGATCATGTGAAACTGAACCTTTTTGCAACCCAATTTGGAACAGCTATGCTAGTAATACAACCGGCAGTGTATACATTGAGCTTGAGAGATCCTCTACCGCAGTGGTTAACCACTGTGGTAGAGGATCCTGCTGTAGTTGCCCCCTTCCTGCCTTCCCAGTCTGTCGTCCGCTATGCAACGTAAAGGCTGAACCGCATGGAAGCGATTAAAGGGGCACTGACACATCAAAATAATTTTTTTTTATTGTCCGAAACGATTGATAACGATGCCGGGACATTACCCTCAAAATTTGAAATTTGGAAATTCAGTATTTGTGAAGTAAAAAGGCAATTTCCAAATATCGAATTCGAAGTTCCAGCGCGATCCGCGCCGGTGCGTTGACGTAAAATATTGCGGAGTCCTGAGAGTCCACTTTCTTTCACGACTCCCTGCTGTTGCCATGGCGACCCAAAGCGAGGACGAAAGGAGCCAGCGCCGGCGGACCGGTTTTGAGTGGTGTCGCCTGTTTTCCTTGGGAAGATACAAATAAAGCAGGCGGCACCACAACGAACTCCTGAGTTTTTATATTTCAAAAAGAAGGGCCGTAGTGCGTTCGCAATTGCGTTGAGAAACATGTTTTAGGATTGCCGTTATTAAATGTTATAGAGATATCGCCTACAAAGCTTCTAAATTTCATGATTCTTGACGTCACGAATCAAAAAAGGCAAGAGGCGGGAGAATCAAACGCAAAAAATAAAAAGGCGCGCGTGCGCGGAAATTTTTTTTCGCGATGCGGTTTTCTTTTTGCGTGTCTATGACTACCACTTGCATCGTTTTAGACAATAAAAAGAAATATATGATCTTCGGGGTGTGAGTGCCCCTTTAAGCAAGCGAGGAGAGTCAGCGACGAGCGGCGGAAATTTCCCACGGTCACTTGTCGCATCGCTCGGTTTTTGGATTTCTAGAAATCATCGCTCATCGCCTTGGTCGCTCGCTCCCGTCGGTTTCATCCGGTTGGCCGCGTCGCGCGAGTGACCGAACGACAGTGAAGCGGATTGTCGTCGCTTGTCTCGTGGCTCGTCAAATCGCTTACATGCGGTTTATACTTAATTGCCGCGAGACTGGCACCACATGTATGATTGGCACACGATTCCATATTCCCTTTCATACTGTTTATGATAGCGCATATTGTTTATTGGTGGCATTAGTTACATACCGTTTTAGAACAGACGGGTGCGAATAAATATGCCGTGGTTTTAATTACTAATGTTTATTCTTATTTCAGATGCCTTATGTTAGCCACCACCGGAACCCCGACACTCCATGAGATGTGAAGAATCTCGCCAACCGCCTGGGACACTTGAATAATATCATGCCAATTTTTTTTGCATTGTACATATGTTTTTATGTTTACTTTTGCGGCCTGCAGTATGCTTTTTTTTTTGTGGAAATAAATTGAATTTTATTAATTTACTTCGTGTGTTGTCAATATGACCAGTTAAACTGATTTAACTGCATGGTGAATTTCTAATGTCTAGCCAAGCTTGGCTGACCATCCGGCCACTAACCTGGCCCATGCTGTATATACAGTAAAGAGCCAAGCTTGGGGTACCACTGAGCTTCCCGCCTGGCCCAGGCCATAATTACAGTGGTGAGCCAGTCCATGGCTACACAGGAAACTGCCGGTGGTCGCCAGACTGGCATACCAGAATGGGGCCGCCTAGCGCCATGGTGCAAAACAATCTAGGCCCAGCGGAACTTCCCCGGCTACCCAGTCTGGCTCAAGCTTGAGCCGGTCGTAACGTACTGCTTGGGTAATTGCTAAAGTGCCAGACGTGAGCCAAGGTTTCCACGTATGAACCTAAGAACCAGCAGTGAAGCATAATAATCAGTCAATTGTTTGGCACTCCAGGCCCAAAATTTCACACATGCAAACCAAACAACCAGAAGTGAAGCCTAACTCTGGCACTTGTTTAGTAATTTAGGCCCAACGATTCCACGTGACAGCCAAACTACAAGATGTGAAGCCTAACGTTGTCACATGTATGGCCGACATACCCAGACTATGGCCATAGAAGATCATGTTTGACTCTACCTTGGCTTCTTTGGGCTTTTAAAGTTGTAGATTCTTAAACAAAAAAAGAAACTTTGTTCCAAGGAACTGTGCTACGTGTGCCAGTCAGGACGAGTTTAGTTTACACGCAACAGTTTTTTTTTTAATATCTGGGTTATTGTAGTCGACTGAAATTCCTTACTATTGAGTATGTTCTCGCAAATACACGCGCTGCAAAGACAACGCAAATACGCGCGCTGCAAAGACAAGCTTGTGCGTGATTGCTTTTGTACAGCGATCCATCTCAGATTTCATATTACTGCTATCTTTTTCTGATTTGGTGCCTCAGCTACAGTTCTTCTGGATTTTCCTGTCTTATCTCTATGTAAACTTTAGGTTTCGCTGTTACGTTGAACGGTACTATTTATAGTGTTATATATTACATTCTCTAAACTTACAAGCACAAAGTCTACGCGTCTGCTGCTTTAATTACGTGTTGTTCCGCCTCCAACCTTTACTACGCCAAAGTGAATAAGCTCAGCAAATTGCAGTATAGCTATTTATGCGGTGGACGTACGTATTTACACTCGGGTTCGCCACCGGTAATTAATATACTATATCCCACAACTTAATAATACTTTTCTTCCGTAATTTAGAAGCCATACCCAGCTCCATTTAGAGAACATATTTCTCAGGCAGCGCTATATGGTTTATGCGATCCCAAGTAAAATATCAGAGAAAAACAATACGCTTTCATAGGCGACTCTTTTCTCCGCAGGGAAAATACCGCCTGGTGATGTTGGCCAATAACTAATCTTCTCATGGATAAAATTAAGAATTCGAAACACTATTGATTT